AGTCAAGCAGAATCAGTTTAAGTAAAGCATTAACTTTTAACACTCCCTCTTAATGCTTTGCTGCTTCACTCCCAAAAGTTCTCTTAGGTAGATGAATCTGTCCTTTGGTTATGCCTTGGTAAAGATATCAGCAACTTGATCTTCTGTCTTGCAGTAGACCACATCCACTTCCTTGTCTTCCACAACACCTCTGATGTAGTGATGCTTCAGAGCAATATGCTTTGATTTACCATGACAGACAGGATTCTTGCTCATGGCAATAGCTGACTTATTGTCACAAAGGATATGAGTTGCTGATTCTTGTTTCTCACCAAAATCTTGCATAATTCTTCTCAGCCACACTGCTTGAAAAGTTGCAATTGAAGCCGACACATACTCAGCCTCTGCCGTTGATAGTGCAACTGATTTCTGTTTCTTAGATGCCCAAGAGAATACACCAGTCCCTAATGTAAAAGTATAGCCATATGTGCTCTTCAAGTCATCCACACTACCTCCCAGTCACTATCACAGAACCCATACAATTTTGGCTTAACATTCCTTTCATACATAATACCAAAGTCAAGTGTACCTTGTATGTATCTTAGGATTCTCTTTGCAGCTCCATAGTGAATGCAAGTAGGCTTGTGCATAAATCTGGACAACAAGCTTGCAACATACATAATATCAGGTCTAGTCACTGTCAAATACAACAAACTCCCAACTAGGCTTCTATACACAGATTCATCAGCATCACCACTACCATCTTCTCTTTGAAACTTTTCATTCACAACTAGAGGTGTTGCAACAGGCTTGCAACCAACCATTTTGAACTTTTCTAGAAGTGTTTTTGCATATTTCTTTTGAGTAATAAAGATACCATCATTTGATTGAATAATACTAATTCCCAAAAAATAATGCAACATGCCTAGATCACTCATCTCATATTTCCTCATCATGTCATTCTTGAAATTCAAGATCATATTATGACTACTTCCAGTATAAACCAAATCATCAACATATAAGGAAACAATAAGGATATCTGAAATACCTTCTGTTTTGACATAGAGGGCAGGTTCATTCTCACTTCTTTGAAAACCTCTTTCATTGAAATATGAGTTGATCTCTCCATACCATGCTCTCGGAGCTTGTTTCAGGCCATAAAGTGCCTTCTTAAGCTTATACACCTTGTGCTATTGTCCTTTAAGAACAAATCCTTGAGGTTGATCAACGAACACCTCTTCTTTTAGGACTCCATTTAGGAAAGCCAACTTGACATCAAGTTGGTGTAGAAACCACCCCTTTTGAGCAGCTACGGAAATAAGGCCTCTGATTGTTTCATGCCTAGCTACCGGTGCAAATGTTTCTTGGAAATCAATCCCGGGTTTCTGAGAATAACCCTTTGCTACCAATCTAGCTTTGTTCCTTTGAACGGAACCATCTTGATTGAGCTTAGTCTTATAAATCCACTTCACTCCAATGACGGAGTTGTCACAAAGTTTGTCCACTAGTTCTCATGTCTTGTTTTTCACAATGACATTGATCTCATCTTGCATTGCAGCCTTCCATGTCTCTTCTTTCACTGCATCATCAAAGTTTTCTGGTTCTTCAACACAGAAATTGCAGCTTTCATAGACTTCATTTAAGCTCCTTAACCGAACCGGTGTTGAACTTGGACTCGAAGGTGTAGGAGAGTGAACTTGAGGACTATTTTCAAGTGATAATTGTGGAATTTCTTCTTCATTTGGTTGATTTTCTTCTTCAATTCTGATTAGTGCAGATTCCTCTCGAATGGTTGCTTGATTCCAATCCCATGAAGATTTCTCACTAAAAAGAACATCTCTACAAACCAGAACTTTCTTCTTTTTTAAATTGTAGAGTCTGTACCCTTTTGTGTATGAAGCATAGCCTACGAAAATGCATCTTTCACTTGACTCATCAAGTTTTTGTCTTAGTTCTTTCGGAACATAAGCAAAGCAGATTGACCCAAACACTCTTAAATGATTCACGGAAGGCTTTCTTCCACTCCATGCCTCAAATGGTGTCTTATTTCCAATTGCCACTGTTGGATGCCTATTAATCAAGTAGACCGCTGTATTAACTGCCTCACCCCACAAATATTGAGGTATTCCCTTGTCATGTAACATTGCTTTAGCCATTTCGACTATGGTTCTATTTTTTCTCTCAGCTACTCCATTTTGTTGTGGAGTGTAGCTGACTGTAAGTTGTCTTTCCAAGCCAATATCTTGACAAAACTTATCAAATTCTGTGGATGTATACTCTCCTCCTCTGTCACTTCTAATAACTTTGATTAGATACCCAGATTGTCGCTCAACCATAGCTTGAAACTTCTTGAAGATTGAGAACACTTCTGATTTCTGTCTTATAAAGTATACCCAAGTCCTTCTAGAATAATCATCCATGAAGATTAGGAAATACTTGTTTCCCACTTGAGTAGAGGTCTTCATGGGTCCGCAAACATCTGTATGAATCAATTCCAATGGAACTTTTGCTCTCCAAGCTTTACCATGTGGAAATGAATCTCTATGATGCTTCCCAAGTGCACACCCTTCACAGATTTCTTCATTTTCTTGGATACTCGGCAACCCATGCACCATTTCTTTTTCTTGTAGCTTCTTGAGACTTTGAAAATTCAAGTGGCCAAGCCTTTTATGCCATAGCTTTGAATCTTCTTGCACTTCCATCTTGAATGCAGATTGAGTTGCATACTCAATTGTGAGAGGAAAACTTCTACTCTTCCTCATCTAAATCTTAGCCACGAGTTGTTGACGATTCCTCCTATCATATATCTTGCAAGTATTGTCTCCAAAATATAAGTAGTAGACATGCTCAATGAGTTGTCCAAGACTTAGCAAATTTTGCTTCAAATCAGGAACTAACATGACATCCTTGATGAACATCTTTCCATTCTTCGTATGCACGGCAATAGTACCTCTTCCCAATGTATCGACTAGTTGCCCATTTCCCATCTTCACTCGGGTTAGGTTTGTAGTGTCAACATTATGGAGAATGTTCTTATTTTCCGTCATATGATTGCTACAGCCGCTGTCCACAAACCAAACTTTAGCTTCTTCTTGGACGGTTGTATCATGACCAACATAAAACATATTGGTTTCTTCATCTTCTGCTTTGGTGTAGTGAGCTAGCTGATTATCTTTGTAAGTACAATCCCTTTGCATATGCCCGAATCTGCTACACTTGTGGCATTTCACTTTTCCTTTGAACCAACATTCCCCAGAATGAGCTTTGTCACAAATTTTGCACTTCGAAACATACGAACTCTTCTCAACCTTTTTCTTCTCTTCAAAATTACCCTTTCCTTCCCACACTTTGTTTTTGCCTTTCCAATTCTTGTTGGAGTTGGCTTTGCTTTGACTTGAACTAGCTTGAGTTTTTGGATTCACTGTAAGTGTTTGGAAAGCATTTTCTACATCATTGTTGTCATGTCTAGATAGTTTCTGAGCAAAACCTTTGAGAGAACCAATCAATTCTTCAACACTCAAAGTTGACAAATCCTTAGTCTCCTCTATGATTGAAACTATGTTGTCATACTTTCTTGGCAAGCTAATTAGTGACAAATCCTTAGTCTCCTCTATGATTGAAACTATGTTGTCATACTTTCTTGGCAAGCTAATTAGATACTTCTGGACTATTCTCTCATCAGACAAGATTTCACCATAGCTTTTCATTTGATTAATAATCTCAGACAATCTACTCAGGTAATCATCTAACAATTCATCATCTTTCATTCTTATATACTCAAAATCTCTTCTCAAAGATTGGAGTTTGACAGCCCTTACCTTAGTAGAGCCTCTGTAGACTTTCTCCAGCACATCCCAAGCTGATTTGGCACTTGTCTCATTTGAGATTCTCGGAAAAATTTCATCTGAGATAGCATTTTGGATGACCCCAAGAGCTTTTGCATCTCTCTTGATGTTTTCCTTCAGCTCCCTTGTTTGAGTCTCTGTCAAAACCACAGTACTTTGAGGTACAACATAGCCATCTTCAATCAAGCTCCACAAATCATGAGATACAAAAATTGTTCTCAACTTTGTCCTCCAGAAGTCGTAGTTCACTCCATTGAAGATAGGAGTTCGAATCTCACCACTGCTACTTGAACCAGCCATGAATTTGAAAAATTTTGATTCTAGGGTTTCACTTAGAATTTTCCCCCTTTTTGAGAATCAAAAAAACGCCCCACTCTTTGATTAGATTGGCTCTGATACCATGTTGGTATTTAGACAATCTTTCATCATTAATAAAACTTGAATAAAATGATAAAGATTGAAAATCAAAGAAACAGAGTGCAGAGAGCTTTGGAAACAGAGGGCTGATGCCTTTTCTTAAAACAGAGATCTTATCTTTTCATTCAGATATTTCTGATATATATGGCTCAATACATAAGCCAACTGAAGTAATTGGGTCGACTGATAAAGAGAATGGGTCAACTGATAAAGGCAACAGTCAGCCCTTTTACACAGAATCAGTTTCAGTCATCCCTTTTACATAGAATCAGTTTCAGTCAAGCAGAATCAGTTTAAGTGAAGCATTAACTTTTAACAGTTGTGCAAATTGTCCAGTATATTATATAATATGTTTATAAGAATAAAAGTCACAAAAAATTTAGAATGGGAAGAAAAGTTTAACATATCGATTCTCCCTTTGTATACCACATAGTCGTCTCTCATCAGTAACATATACGTTTTCTAGTTTGGTGCTTCTTGTTCCTCTGAATGGAGGAGAAAACTTTGGACTTTGACATTTTGTTACCTCAAATCTTATTTTCTTGTTGGCATGAGCTCAAATTTCATATTAAAATTCAGATATATTTTGGCCGGAGACTTGTATATGAATTTTAAGTCTCCACTGCATTGGAGAGATTTTGACTCAAATATACTACTTCATTCCATATTTTTCGGTGCGTTGGAGATGACCTTGTAGGTATCTTTAACAAATTAATTGCGGAAGGTCGTTCAAACTTGGAACCTCCTCCAAAACTAGGAAACAATAATGGAGAAATAATTGACTGCGAACGAGTAACATAAAATCAAGTGATACGTACAGCTGAAGTACATGAAATCGGAACCAGTTACAACACCAAATACGCAAATGATAATGATGTGCACGAACCATGATAATGTACAACAGAAATTGTATCTTGTCAATGCCCAACAAATTGTTGATGCATGCTAAAACTGGAGCAGGTATGGAAGGAAATGGATTCAGTTGGAAACCATGATGCCTCCTTCGCCATTTCGTCATCCTTAAGGCTGAGTATCATGGATCTTCGTCAGTAACCCAAGATTCACTGTTAACCATTTTCAATAGGATCTCTTCTCTTTACCCTTTTCTTCATCATCTCAGCCCACCTTGCAAAGACATTGGAGACTTCAAATTTACCAGAAAACTTCATCTTCTGCGCCAACTCCTCAAGAATATCAGGTTTTCCAGCTCTGGAGAAATCGGCTGCAAACTTATTTAAATCAAGCTGGGGAGGTTTCATTCCTTTCTCAACCATTTCCTCTAGATATTTACAGGCCTCTCCTGATCTTCCCTGACTTATAAGACCTCCAATGAGAACAGTATATGAGTTGTCATCAGGGCAAAACCCCTTCTGAATCATCTCATCCCATACTGCACAACCCATATCATAATTTCTAGTCTGAAAATAAGACTTCATGATCATGTTAAAAGTGTGTATTGATGGCTCAACGCCATTTTGAATCATCTTCTTGTATATCCGCACTGCATCATCCGGCATTCGCTGCTGCGTCGTCATCACTTTAATCAAGGCATTGTATGTCCGCCCATCAGGAGTGCAACCGGTTTCCTTCATCTCCTTCAACAATTCATAAACTGTTTCCATCTTCTTCTGATTTCCAAACCCTGTAATTAAGCACGTGTAAACCGCAACATCTGGCTGGCACCCAGATTCTCGCATTTCATAAAAAGAGTCAACTGCTTCTTTCATCTTTTTTTGCTTGCAGAAATCTTGAATCAGAATACTATAGCTTCTAACGTTGGGAGATGGGCCCTTGGCTTTCATGACCTCAAACAACTTGATAGCATCAGACCTCTTGTGACCCCTCAACAACCCTCCGAGCATTGTATTATACGCAACAATATCAGGCTTAAATCCCTTGTCAACCATCTCATTCCACACCCTCCCTGCTTCCATTAAATTCTTTGAGCTACACCACCCGTTTAGCAGTACGGTATAAGTTTGTAAATTTGGTGTAAACCTCCCCTTCAACTTCTCGAAAAGCAATTGCATTTCTTTTCCTAGCTTTGCCCTTCCAAGAGTATCAAGCAAGCAATTAATAGTATCGATGCCAACTTTGAACTTGTAGGACTTCATCAGTTCAAAAATGCCAACAGCTTTCTTCCTCTCCTTGGCAGCAGCAAAAGCTTTAAAAGCAATCACAAATGTTTCCATTGTCAAAAGCTCCTTCACTCCCATTTCTTCGAGCAGCGACACCATGGTCTCAAACTGCCTGGTCTTTCCTAAAATGCTCATCATCGAATTGTAAGTCCTAGAATCATGCGAAAACCCTGGCTTCTGCCCAGCCCAACAGAAAAACCGAAAGGCGGGTTTTCTAGCGTGCTGGAAGCGTTTCAACACCGCCACAACCAAATCATGGGACAACTGAATCCCGCATTCATCAAGAACCGCTTCCATATTCCGATCTAAGGCAAACAATTCGTCGATCACCTTGCATACCCTGTCGACCTCTTCCGGGTCTGCACTAGAACTAACATGAACACTCCCCCTCCTATCCTCGTCCTCACTATCAGTTTCAGCACCCGAATCCGAACCACCAGCGGTGGCACTAGAAAACCCCCTAAGACCACATTCAATGCCAACCAATGAAGTTGTAAAATTGGGGATTGTAATGGATGTAGTTAGCAATTTTTCTTGTAGAATAAAGAGTGAAGTGGGGTGTGGCAAAAGAAATGGAATTTGACAATGAGAATGATAGAGATAACGACGAGGAGAAGAATGAAGCAAACCAGACAGGGGCAGAGAGCAACCACTAGGAAGGCATACTTGCTCTCGGCGGCGGTGCCGTCTTTCTCGTCCCTGATAGAAAGAGCATAGCTCGGCGGTGAAGCGGCGGCGTAGGTGGACATCTGAGAGTGGTGTTCTTGGGTGCGGTTGAGAGTAGAGGAGGTGGCTTTGGGCGGATGAGGAGGATCTTCTTAGAAAGAGGGTCATTGGGCAGCCATGAACGGACCTTCTAGTAGTTTCTGGTCGATCGAGATTTCAGCGATCGAGAATCGAGATTCAAAGATGGGTGAAGAAAGAGGAAGGAGATGCAGAGTTTGTAGTTGCAGCAGGCCAGTATCAAACGGCTGAACCTAACTGAGCGCAATGGCCAACCACTGGTTGGTATATTGGGCCTGGCCCAATTTTACTTTTCGTTATTGTTAACCCTTACTTTATTCCAACTTACAATTTGTAACTTGTGCAAATTAAGAATATTATCTGCACTAAGAGGGTGAATGAGTAGCTTACAACGAGCTATTAATAATGTGATTGAACTCTTGATTGATGAATAAGAGAAAAATCAAGCATTCATAACTATTGATATACTTTGACGCTATGGCAATTAGATTAGACAACATACTTGTAATTGACCATTCGATCAATTTCATGTGCGTCTCTTCGTTATTTGTTGATTTTGTTTGGAGATGAGAAATGTGATTTTGTTCAAGAAAATTACTACATTTTGGAGGGGCTTTCATGTGCCTCTCTTCATTATTTTAGTTGTTTTCCATGTATGTGTGTTTCTATGGCTGTTTTAGAAGTAGATTTACCATATTTTGAAAAATGTAAGCCAAGCTAGAGTTATTCTATCTTATATGACTCAATTAGAAAATCTATTGTATGTAATTGTGTCTTATTGGCGTTCTGCATTTGTTTTTTTATTGCCAGCCAATCGATGCTCAAGTTAACTTACCTTGATTTGGTTTATGCTCTATGTGGAACTGAATTTGAGTCTGCTGGACTGCAGTGACAAAGGCGACTAATGGGATGGATATTGTTTTATCTGGTGATGCCTCAGCAAGGTTTAGCTTGCGTGAAGCTGAGAAGTTGCACTTCCTCGGGGAGTAAGTTTCTTGTACTTATTCCTAATGGTGTTTTTAGGTCCATCCTACTGTACGCCTAACTATTTTGCAGTTGTGAATTGGGGATTGTTATGTCAAAATGCAATCCGTTATTTTCCATTTTTAGTTACTGTTAATTTTGACTTTGAAGCTTGTTGTATGGCTACAGGCATCGTATAATTCTATACTGACAGCATTTGTTACTGTATTTCTATTTTGTGTATGACAGGGATGAAAAGATAAAATTTTAGTCCATTAATGTTTGCATGTAGATGCCCAATTTCATACATGTTTTGCTCAACTGCTCTGGTATGGAAACAGACAGCGCACGGATGCCAAAAGAAGATGACTTGGAGATGCAAATTATGATCCAAGAACTCTGTATTTACCTCCCGCATTCTTAAAGAGTTATCAGGTGGCCAGGTAATTGCTTCTAGATAGATTAGTAGCCTAAAGGGTTTTGAGGCATTAACGATTATGAACACTCTTAATTTAGTGAGATGTTAATATTTCAGAGACAATGGTGGGATTTTAAGTCAAAGCACATGGACAAAGTTCTCTTTTTCAAGGTATGCTCGTCCTTACCAGTAGCTAAGTAATGGCAAATTATGCTACACAAATTCAGGGTCATTATTGCTGGCAAATGAGGAACATCTCATTTTTGTCTGAGCAGATGGGCTAGTTTTATGAACTTTTTGAAATGGATGCACATATAGCAGCAAAAGAACTTGGTCTGCAGTATATGAAGATAATATATCTTGAAATTTTGTCTTGGTGTTGGCTGTTGTGGGTGAGCAGATAACATTTTCTTTCATTTCACATTTTATCTCGATTGTTCTGAGATTTGTTTTGTTAGGATTGCTTTGGATGCACCCATTGTGCTTCCTATTTGTTTTTCTTTAGTTAGTGATTTGTCGTTGCCTAATATTAGGGTGAACAACCCCATTGTGGATTTCCGGAGAAGAACTTCTCAATGAATGTGTAGAAACTTGCTAGGAAGGTTGGTTTTACTCTTGTCACTTTATTTGGAGATATCTTTCTTACTCTTTTTCGTTGAAGTTCAGCATCTATGTGAAGCCTCTTTCACACTATGGAGGGAGATTTATTTAAGCTGCCTTGACTGGCAGGGGTATCGAGTTCTGGTTGTGGAGCAGAAACACCTGAACAGATGGATCTTCATCGTAAAGAGGATGGCTCTAGAGATAAGGTATGCTCATCTTTTACTTGTGGGTATATATCCTTGAATATTTGTCATCTGATTAATTTGATATTCTATATTATAATTCTTAGCACTGCATGTTGTAATTTGATACCCGGATTGAAGCTATTAATGAAAAAATGGTATTAACTTCTGAATTTACCTTGGTGTATAGGTTATGAAACGTGAAATATGTGCAGTGGTTACAAAAGGAACACTAACTGAGGGAGAGATGGTGTCAGCAAACCCTGATGCTTCTTATCTAATGGCAATGACTGAAAATTCTCAGAATTTGGCAAACCAAACTGCAGAGCGCCCTTTTGGGGTGTGTGTAGTTGATGTTGCTCCCAGCCAGGTCATTCTTGGGCAGGTATGAGTCTAGTCGAACATCATTTTCATCTTGTTCTCTTAGTTTTCATGTAAAAGGTCTGATAGTGTGATCTTCTGGTGCCTGCTGGACTTTGTGGCTGTCTGCATTTCCCTTATTTTTTAGATATTTGAGCATATATATAATCATTGGGGCAAATTGTGACTATGTTATTCCTAATTACCATTTCATAAGAGGCTGATGAAGATGTATCATTAGGTCGTTTTGGTGAATTGCTTGTTACATATGGATCTGTTTTTTACTAGTATTGCTTTCCCAATACCAGTTTGGAGATGATCTAGAGTGCAATGCCTTGTCTTGTCTCCTGTCTGAGCTGAGGCCTGTTGAAATTGTAAAACCTGCAAAACTACTTAGTCCTGAAACAGAGAAAGTGCAGATAAGGCATACAAGAAGTCCTCTGGTGAATGAGTTAGTCCCACTATCGGAATTCTGGGATGTTGAGAGAACTGTTCTAAGCAAGCCATGTAAAGCTATCGGAATTAGTTAGAACATGGCTTGCAAGACCTCATTCCGATAGTGGGACTAACGCACAAGCAACTCTTCAGGGTGAATGAGTTAGTCCCACTATCGGAATTTCTAGGCTTCCGGACATGGAGCGGTTGCTTGTGCGTGTCTGCTCTAGTAGGTAAAGCTAGGAATAACAGTTGATTTTATGCTTATGGAGAACTTACTGATGTATCCAAAGATTGATTTACAGTAACTGAATGTGACTGGATGCAGTAATGCTTGCGGAAGGACTGCTAATAAAGTGGTTTTATATGAGGATGCTGCAAAAAAAAAAGCTTCAGGAATTTATTTCAGCTTTACGTGGTTGTGAACTCATGGCTCAAATCAAACATGCTGTTCTCTTAGAGTTATCTTGGAAAATGTTGAATCTGCACAACTGCATCATCTGCTAACACTGGGTATTGTTTTCTTTTTGCATTTATATATGTATTATTTTAAAAGATATAGGTTGCTTTTTGCGTTTATATTTGTATTATTTCAAAAGATATTGTTTCCCATCTTATATCTTGCCATAAGAAGATTTTCGTGCCTTAAAGATTGTTTTTGGTATGCATGTGCATCTTTCATTGTTAAAGAAATCTTGGCATCTTATTGTTCATTGTTTTACAGGTAAAGGTCTTCCTGATGTTAACTCAGTTCTAAAACATTTCAAGGATGCCTTTGATTGGGTAGAAGCCAATAATTCAGGTCATATAATACCTCATGAAGGAGTCGATATTGAGTACGACTCTGCTTGTGAAAAAGTAAAGGAGATAGAGTCTCATTTAGCAAAACACCTCCAAGAAGAGAAAGTTACTTGGAGATAAATTGGTAAGAACTTCTATGGAAGACAAATTGGCATTTTGATTTCCCAGTAGTACACTTTTAAGTAGAAACTTTACAATCTCACGTAACTTTGGCCTTCTGTTGTCTGTTGCAGATCACTTATGTCACAGTTGGAAAAGATTCTTACCTATTGGAAATGCCGGAAAGTCTGTGCAGCAATATTCCTTCGGATTATGAGTTACATTTGCCTAAAAAGGTAATTAGAAAATCTTTGGAATAGTAAATTAAGTAGCTTTAATGGCTTTATATTAATACGAACATGCCTTCCTTGTGTTCAAACATGCAGGGTTTGTCGAAGTACTGGACACCAGATATCAAGAAGTCATTGACAGAGCTCTCACTAGCTGAACTGATTAGGAGTCCTCGCTAAAAAGCATTTTGCAGAGGTTCATTGGACGTTGGCGAGCATTGTCTTAAATGGAGACAATTGGTCTCTGTGATTGCAGGTATGCAATCTTTTTCCCTCTGCATTGGCTGGTTTCTTCTGATATATGTTAGTCAAACTTCGGTGGATTGACTGGAGTCTGGAGCATATTTTTTCATTCGCATTTTCTTTTAGTAAGTGCATTCTGCTATGCTGTGCAATATAAGAGAACTTACACACACACACACACACACACTCATACCTAAGAGTACTGCTTGATTCCCCAAAAGATGTAGCTAAATATTGGTCCATTTTAAACAGATTTAACTATAGTTGATTTCCGAATCATTTGGGTTTTAACAATTCTAAAAATGTATTTCTAGAAACAAGTCCATGAATTCAGTAATTAGTCTGTTTTATGTTCACTGGTGACATTGACCCCACATGTTGCAGAAATCGATGTTTTAATCAGCCTAGCAATTGCAAGTGATTGTTTTGAAGGACCCTCTTGTCAGCCAGTGGTCATGAGTTCATCGTGTAGTAATGAAGTACCCCGTTATTCTGCATAAAGTTTGGGACATCCTGTTCTTAGAAGTGATTCTTGAGGAAAGGGTACATTTGTATCCAACGACATTGCCATTAGAGGTTCTGGCCATGCGAGCTTTACCCTTCTCACTGGTCCTAACATGGGTGGAAGGTCTACTCTTATTCGCCAAGTTTGCTTGGTTGTGATTTTAGCAACGTAGTCTTCTCTTATTGTCTGAATTTCTTACTTGTATTTATTGCCTTGCAATGTGTGATCATTTTCGCCTTTGTTTCTTCAGCAGTTAGGAGCAGATGTTCCTGCAGAGAGCTTTGAGCTATCTCCTGTTGACCGAATCTTTGTTTGTATGGGTGCTAAAGATAATATCATGGTATACATTTCTGACAGAGCTATCAGAAACTGCAACAATGCTGGTGAGATTACTATTTAGAGCAACTTGGTTCAAACTAATTTAGTGTTACAAATGTATTGTTCTGATTTCCCGTGTTCATAAAAATAGATTATTTAGGTAGTGTGGGTTGAAAAAATTTCATCTGGTTCTAATCTTGGTTATGATATGCATTTCTCTTGAAAATTCATAAATCATGTCTTCTCAACTTATTTCAATATGTAGTGCCATGACTCATGAGTGTAATGAGTATATCAGTTCACTGGGTTCTGGGTTCTGAAATTCTTTCAAATTATAGACGAAGGTGTTATGATTTAAGAAATTCATTGTGCTAAACATATATTTCAATATTGTTTGTAGTCATCAGCTACTCGTAATTCATTGGTGGCACTGGATGAACTTGGACGTGGAACATCAACTTAGATGATGGACAAGCCATTGCGTAAGAGCCAATCATGCTAGATATTTGTGAATGATTTTGCCTTTACCCAAATCTTGTGTTTTTCATTCGTTTCCTCTTCAACTTTTGTATGTCCTCTTGAACTGGCAGGGAATCAGTTCTTGAACATTTTATCTACAAGGCCCAGTGCCGAGGAATGTTTTCTACCCATTATCACCGACTAGCTGTACAACAACAACAACAACAACAACAACAACAAAGCCTTTTCCCACTAAGTGGGGTCGGCTATATGAATCCTAGAACGCCATTGCGCTCGGTTTTGTGTCATGCCCTCCGTTAGATCCAAGTACTCTAAGTCTTTTCTTAGAGTCTCTTCCAAAGTTTTCCTAGGTCTTCCTCTACCCCTTCGGCCCTGAACCTCTGTCCCGTAGTCACATCTTCGAACCGGAGCGTCAGTCGGCCTTCTTTGCACATGTCCAAATCACCAGAGCCGATTTTCTCTCATCTTTCCTACAATTTCGGCTACTCCTACTTTACCTCGGATATCCTCATTCCCAATCTTATCCTTTCTCGTGTGCCCACACATCCCACGAAGCATCCTCATCTCCGCTACACCCATTTTGTGTACGTGTTGATGCTTCACCACCCAACATTCTCTGCCATACAACATCGCTGGCCTTATTGCCGTCCTATAAAATTTTCCCTTGAGCTTCAGTGGCCTACGACGGTCACACAACACGCCGGATGCACTCTTTCCATCCAGCTCGTATTCTATGGTTGAGATCTCCATCTAATTCTCCGTTCTCTTGCAAGATAGATCCTAGGTAACGAAAACGGTCGCTTTTTGTGATCTTCGCTAGATTGCTCCGGTCATTAGTGTGGATAAGTATATAAATGGATAGAGATAGGAAAGCAAACACAAGATGTACGTGGTTCACCCAGATTGGCTACGTCCACGGAATAGAAGAGTTCTCATTAATTGTGAAGGGTTTACACAAGTACATAGGTTCAAGCTCTCCTTTAGTGAGTACGAAGTGTGAATGATTTAGTACAAATGACATTAGGAAATATTGTGGGAGAATGATCTCGTAATCACGAAACTTCTAAGTATCGGAGTGTGGTGTCGTCTTGACTTGCCTTATCTGTCTCATAGGTAGATGTGGCATCTTCTCTGGAAGTACTCTTCCTCCATCCAGGGGTGGTATCTTTAACTAACTGGTGGAGATGCACAAGGTAATGTATCAATTTCACTTGAAGCTTACTTGTAGTTTCAGGCTTGGTCAAGCGCGATACAAACCATGTAGTAGGAGTCCCCCAAGTCGCCGAGCTAGGGGGTCTGCTGAAAGAGGTGACAGACAAGGTAAGCAATCAGAGCTCCGACTGATTGTTCACCTTCTCCCCATCTTGCAGCAGCATGAAGGATAAAGAGAAGAAAAATGAGAAGAGATGATATGAGATACTTTTGCTTTTGAAGAAGTAACTTTCCACAGGCTTATTCTTGAACTGAGCTGGAGGGTTTTCTGGTTTCCTCCAGAGTATAAGGCCGACTGAAGAATTTGAGGGTCAAAACAAGTCCATCAAATCTAGAGTACGTTCCACCCTGCTGATATGGGATACTTTTGCTTTTGACAGAGTAATGGATGTATCGGCACGTGTGCTGTTACGCTTGTCTCCACATGCTTCCTTGTATCCTTCGCACTTGCCCTATCTGTTCCTCAAGCAGATGCGGAATCTTCCCTGGAAACATAAGATGTTGAAGATGAGTACTCGAGAGCAATGCCAGGTAAGTAATCAGGTAAGGGGTTCCAGGCAGTCAGTTCCTGGCTGGAAGCTTGATTCCAAGTGCTGACTGATTGCTCTCTTTCTCCTTGTCTTGCAGGTAAAAACAAGGCCAAAGAAAAGAAAAAAACAGGGAAAAAGCATGATATGGGATACTCTTGCTTTTAACCCTGATGATATGAGATATTCTTGCTCTAGTATAGCTTGTTTGCAGAGGTATTATCGGGGGGAAAAAAAGCTGAATATTTCGAAAGGCTTCGTTGGGAGTGCCCTCTCAGATATGATGAAGGGTTGAGCATTTTTGCAGGTCTGCCTGTCCGTTGGGGATGGAGGTCGACATATATAGGAGTCTCCCTAACAACAAGTAGTAATGCTATTCCTTTACCCTGCTTGGTCATAGCACGGTAGTGGGAGCTGCCAGTTTCACATGTTTTAACTCTGTCAGAGCACTTTGAAAAAGTGGTCTGTGGTATCTGGCTCTCGAGATTCGGAGAACGATGCCTCTTCGATTTTTGAGAAAGCAATCATGCTGGGGGTCTGGCTCTCGAGATTCGGAGAGCAGTGTCTCTTCGATTTTTGAGGAAGTAATCATGTTGGGAGTCTGGCTCTCGAGATTCGGAAGGGCGGTGCCTCTTCGATTTTGGAGCAAGCAATCTTGTTGGGAGTGTTGTCTCGAATGTGAGTAAAGGTTGGGCATGTTTGCTAGTCTACCTTGCCACGAAGCACAAAGGTTGACACACAGGGACTTTCCAATTATCCAGCAATGGTACTGTTCCTTTACCCTCTCTTCGATTTTGAGAAAGTAGTCATGTTGGGAGTCTGGCTCTCGAGATTCGGAGGACGGTGCCTCTTCGATTTTGGAGCAAGCAATCTTGTTGGGAGTGTTTTCTCGAATGTGAGTAAAGGTTGGGCATGTTTGCTAGTCTACCTTGCCACGAAGCACAGAGGTTGACACACAGGGACTTTCCAATTATCCAGCAGTGGTACTGTTCCTTTACCCTTGTGGGTAATAATATGGTAGCTAGACCTTCAAAATTTATGTGTCTAAACTTTGTTAGTGCTGTTTCTTTGCTATTCTTTTACCTTTCTTGGTCAGAGCGATGTAGTGGGAGCTGCAAGCTTCACGTGCTCAACTTTGGCAGAGAACTTTGGCAAAGTTATCTGTGGTACCCATGAGCTATTGTTGCGTGTGGGAAGTGGGTGATTGAACAGTAAGATTCATGTGCTTTCTACTTCACCAGAAGTCTTCGACAGAATGCCCATAATTTCTGCAAAGCTGAGTGTGCGTGTGACAGGTGCTGACAAGGCTAGAAAAGTAGGTGCCTCTTCGATTTCTGAGATCGGCCCTCGTGGTCTCTGAGCAGCCCAGCTTTTGAGAAAGCGAGCGCCTCTTCGATTGATTCGGAGAACGATGCCTCATCGATTTTTGAGAAAGCAATCATGCTGGGGGTCTGGCTCTCGAGATTCGGGGAGCAGTGTCTCTCTTCGATTTTTGAGAAAGTAATCATGTTGGGAGTCTGGCTCTCGAGATTCGGAGGGCGGTGCCTCTTCGATTTTGAGCAAGCAATCTTGTTGGGAGTGTTTTCTCGAATGTGAGTAAAGGTTGGGCATGTTTGCTAGTCTACCTTGCCACGAAGCACAGAGGTTGACACACAGGGACTTTCCAATTATCCAGCAATGGTACTGTTCCTTTACCCTCTCTTCGATTTTTAAGAAAGTAGTCATGTTGGGAGTCTGGCTCTCGAGATTCGGAGGACGGTGCCTCTTCGATTTTGGAGCAAGCAATCTTATTGGGAGTGTTTTCTCGAATGTGAGTAAAGGTTGGGCATGTTTGCTAGTCTACCTTGCCACGAAGCACAGAGGTTGACACACAGGGACTTTCCAATTATCCAGCAGTGGTACTGTTCCTTTACCCTTGTGGGTAATAATATGGTAGCTAGACCTTCAAAATTTATGGGTCTAAACTTTGTTAGTGCTGTTTCTTTGCTATTCTTTTACCCTTCTTGGTCAGAGCGATGTAGTGGGAGCTGCAAGCTTCACGTGCTCAACTTTGGCAGAGAACTTTGGCAAAGTTATCTGTGGTACCCATGAGCTATTGTTGCGTGTGGGAAGTGGGTGATTGAACAGTAAGATTCATGTGTTTTCTACTTCCCCAGAAGTCTTTGACAGAATGCCCATAATTTCCGCAAAGCTGAGTGTGCGTGTGACAGGTGCTGACAAGGCTGGAAAAGTAGGTGCCTCTTCGATTTCTGAGATCGGCCCTCGTGGTCTCTGGGGAGCCCAGCTTTTGAGAAAGCGAGCGCCTCTTCGATTTCTGAGATCGGCCTTCGTGGTCTTTGAGCAGCCCAACTTTTGAGAAAAGCAAACGCCTCTTCGATTTCTGAGATCAACCCTCGTGATCTCTAAGCAGCCCAGCTTTTGAGAAAAGCAAACGCCTCTTCGATTTCTGAGCAGGCGCCTCTTCGATTTCTGAAGCTCCGTCGAGTGCAGATTTTTATAGAGGGCTGGCATTAAGTTCCAAAGCACACTTGAATCTCCACCAGTAGAAGCTTCATTCTTGCACTTCTAAGATCTTGATTTGTCCGACCTCTTCTCTCTTCAACACCTTTGAAAATGTCTGGCCCCTCCGACCGTCGTTTTGACTTGAACCTTGTTGAAGAGGCAGCCCCGCCTTCTCCAGACAACATATGGCGCCCATCCTTCGTCTCCCCTACTGGTCCTCTTACCGTTGGGGATTCCGTGATGAAGAATGATATGACCGCTGCGGTGGTGGCCAGGAACCTTCTCACTCCCAAAGATAACAGACTACTTTCCAAACGGTCTGATGAGTTAGCTGTTAAGGATTCGCTGGCTCTCAGTGTTCAGTGTGCAGGTTCTGTGTCTAATATGGCCCAACGCCTATTTGCTCGAACCCGCCAAGTTGAATCATTGGCGGCTGAAGTGATGAGTCTCAAACAGGAGATTAGAGGGCTCAAGCATGAGAATAAACAGTTGCACCGGCTCGCACATGACTATGCTACAAACATGAAGAGGAAGCTTGACCAGATGAAGGAAACTGATGGTCAGGTTTTACTTGATCATCAGAGATTTGTGGGTTTGTTCCAAAGGCATTTATTGCCTTCGTCTTCTGGGGCTGTACCGCGTAATGAAGCTCCAAATGATCAACCTCTGATGCCTCCTTCTAGGGTTCTGTCCAGTACTGAGGCTCCAAATGATCCCCCTCCGGTGCCTTCTCTTTCTGGGGCTCTACCGACTGCTGAGACTTCTCCTAAGCAACCTTTGTGAAGGCTCCCTCTTGTGTGTTTATTTTGACTCATGTATATGTACATATTTGTAGCTTATCGGGGATATCAATAAATAAGCTTTCCTTCATTTCAACGTATTGTGTTAAATACACCAAAGCCTTCTTCGCTAAGTTCTTTGAATTTTCTTTTGTTGAAGCTTGTATGTTGAAGCTTT